ATCTATTGTACGTCCCCCTTCGATATTCTACCAGTCTCTATACCTTACCGGTACTGGTGCGTGCTATCAGACCCGTTGAGCCAACGAGGTCGGCCCTCGGTACTTTGATACTTCCCCCATCTACCAGAGGCATTGGAAACTACTTGGGCTGGAAATTGTTGCCTAATTTAGCTCAGAGGTCTCCTAGAGACATGAGGTTCTTTTACGTGCCGTAAATCTCCCGGAGGACTTGTTCCCTGAATTTTTCCGCCCTTAAAAATTCCACAACCTCCGCCGGGTTTGAACCCGCGTACATTGAGTCATGAGGTGGGAACGTTACCCCTAGACTACAGAGGTCGCTAGTAGTACTTGATCTTAGTCCTTTTGAGGTTGAAATTGCTATTGCAAAGTTGAAAAAGTATAAATCGCCAGTTAGTGATGAAATTCCGGAAAGATTTGTTCAAGTAGCAGGTGCAACATTACGGCCCGAAATTCATAACACCATTAATTATTTTTAAGTTTAAGGTCTTTCATTCTGGTCCGTCACACTAACAAATTAACAATCAAGTTCCTTCCGTCAAATGTGACACTTTTATAAGTTTTCCATTAATTATGTTTGAGTAGGAAGAATTGACTGATCAGTGGGAGGAGTATGTTATTGTACCAACATACAAGTAGGACGATAAAAGTTACTGTAGTAATTATCGAAGAATATCACTTATTAATGTCATACAAAATGTTATGCAATATTCTTGTATCAAGGTTAAGCCCATACTTAGACGAAATTATCGGGTATTATCAGTGTGGGTCTCAACGGAACAGATCAATTGCTGATAAGATTCTTTGAATTCGTCAGATATTGGAGAATAAATGGGAATACAATGAGACAGTACATCAGCTATTCATAGACTTCAGGAAAGCCTATGATTCAGTTAGGAAGGAAGTATTGTACAATATTCTGATAGAGTCTTGGGTACCCATGAAACTAGTTAGGCTGATTAAAATGTGTTAAAGTGAAACGTATAGGTATTGTCCGATACGTATGTTTCCTATTCAGAATGATCTAAAACAAGGAGATGCTTTATCGCCATTGCTTTTCAACTTGCTTTAGAATATGGCATTAGGAAGGCCCAGGAAAACCAGGTGGGGCTGAAATTAAGTGGAACACGTCAACTGCTGGTCTATGCTGATGATATTAAGCTATTGGGAGAAAACATGAATACCGTAGAGAGAAAATACAAACTCTTTAATTGGCGCTAGTGAGGAGGTCGGTCTGCAACTAAACGCAGAGAAAACTAAGTATATATTGCTGTCTCCTCACCAGAATGCAGTGTAAGATCGTAACACAAAGATGGGTAACAGATCATTTGAAAATGTGCACAGTTCACATATTTGGGACGTACTGTAACAAATGGAAACCTTATTCAAGAGGGAGTTAAGAGGCCATTGAATTGGGGTAATGCAGTCTTCATGTCTGTTGTGAAAAAACGTAAAAAGTAGAATATACAAAACTAATTTTGCCTGTGATTCTGTATTGATGTGAAACTTGGTCGCTGACATTAATGGAGGAACATAGAATATTTGGACCGAAGAGAGACGAAGTGGCAGGAGATTGGAGAAAACTGCACAATGAGGAGCTTCATAACTTGTACTCTTCGCCAAATATAATTAGAATGATAAAGTGAAAGATGAGGTGAGCAGGAGATGTAGCACGCAGGGGGCTAAGCGGAATACATATATAATTTTGTTGGGAAAGCCAGAAAGAAAGAGAGCAATAGAAACACGTAGACGTAGGTGGGGGTGGGGGAACAGTATTAAAATTAATCTTAAAGAGATAGGATAGGGTGGTATGGAATGAATTGATCTGGCTCAGCATATGGATGAGAGAGGGCTCTTGTGAACACGGTAATGAACCTTCGGGTTCCGAGAAATGTAGTGAAACAAGCAGCTGAGCGACTGGTGGCTTCTCAACAAGGACTCGGCTTCATGGAGTTAGTTAGTTAGTTAGTTGTTTAGTTAATTAGCCAGAAGTTATGATCGATAGACATACAACACAGGCCGACTTCACGCCAGCTATTCAGAGATAGTTTGAGTGACATTTAAGGAAAATTTGTTGTGTTTAGAGTGTTGTTTTGTTGTCTCTGCCACGAGTCGGAACGCATACGGCGCGAGTTGATGCTATTAGCATGTCCCTCCCAGCGAAAGAGCCTTACGATTTTAGGCTATTATATAATCTACCTGTATGATCTATTAATATATCTTAAGCTGTGGTCTTTCTTTCAAAGAAAATTGTCATTTGCCTGATTAGAGAGCACATTGAATTTAGTAACGGTCAAGAATGTGGTATATCATATTTTATTAGTAATTCACTGTAAATTCGACCTCGAGCATGTTGGTATGTTGCGTAATCATAACGGGTTAACACAAACTTTACTAACGGTTATACGTGAAGTGTCCTGGATTTGAGTCTCGTCACTTTCTGTGCTAAGCTACCTCTGCCAGTGAAACAGCTTCGTTAAGTGACGCACGAACTAAGTCGCAGATGAAACGATAGTGTTAAAAAGGATTTTAAATAAGTAAGAGTGTGCCGGTGTTGACTGGATTTGCCTTACTCTGGACAGGGACTACTGTTGGATTGTAGTGAACAGTGTAATGACTACGGTGTTAGTCGTGCCGACCGTTTTTATTTCGGAAATCGTTTAAGGAGGCTTAGGATATTGTCCGGGGGTGCCGATGTCCCGTAGAAAGTTACTTTCCCCCCATTTAGATGGAAACTAAGAGACATATGAAAGGAACATAGAAGTAAATGCGCGCGCGCGTCCCTTACTTTGACGTAGAGCGGAGTGGATTGTGTCAACCCGGCTGTCAGACGACATGTCCACAGTCTCTTACAAAACAGTTCCTCTGCTTAATGCGATCTAGAGCTTTCCTGAAGCTATATAGTTACAAATAACAGTTTGTAAATTCTGTCCTTTGAGGATCATTAAAACCTAACTCGCCGAAAAACATTAATAAATCATATTAAATTTTTATGCATATTTTTTAGCCTTGCCCATATGCATCATATACAGATGTGAAATAACTACTTCTTAATTTGATCATGAGCAACGATAGTATACATACAAATGCAAATTATTAAATATTTTAACGTGTATTAGTGACTATACACAGGGTTCGGATTGGTAATTGGATTTATTAACAACCTACAGGTCGGAACTACAATTAATTATAATATTATTATTACACTGTTGCTGCTTTACACACTACACAATCTCTCTACGCTAATCTCTTCATTCTACCTGCACTAGCCTTCAGTCTCGCTGAATCACGCACTCGAAATAAAGCCTTTCGAATTAACGGTGATGGGTTGTTTCGGGGGTATAAAATAACGTAAATACACAACTAACAATGGAACATTTCTCAGCAAGCCATGTCAACTCTTATCGGTTCGTTTGCTGAAAAAGAATTGTTAACCCTCATGTTAAGGTCATGAATCAACTAGAATGTAGTGTAGTGAACAGAAAAATGTGTCTCTTGGTAGTGATGGCGCATCTGTTACGGATGAAATTAGCTGAAACCAAATCGAGCAGACTGCTTATATATAAAGAGATTGCGAAATAAAATTATGTTTAACTTATTTTTTCTCCAAATTGGAGATACATGTGGCGGAACACATGTGTTGCGCGGGAGGATAATTTGGGATCCACCGTGATTTAGAACATCAGTTGTGGATGTAAAAGGCCGCGCCATAGCTCAGGCGGTTAGTCGCTGACTTTCCACTGCGGTGGTCCTGGTTCTTTCCCGGTTCTGGTCAAGTGGGATTTGTTTTGGACAAAGTGGCGCTGGTGCAGGTTTTCTCCGAGTACTTCGGTTTCCCCTGCCAATCTTCATTCCACCAATTTCTTCACAGTCACTCTCACCTATCATCTGGCGCTGGTACAATAGGCCAGAAGTGGCCGCAGTACAAGGGACTTAGTCCCACTCCACTAGCAATAAGAAAAATAGGGATGTAAAGAAGCAAGGAGCATGTACAGAGAATGATCAGCCATCTGTTTTGATTCTTTGCCCACCTGAAGATAATACATTAACATGATCTGAGAGATAATCTCAGTAAACTCCAGAGCGCCTTTCCACTTCAGATAAAGACAGGAAGGTCACGTGTAAAAATGTTTGCGTGGAGTTTGGAATTGAACTAAATCATGCAGTAGACGTTCGTGTTTACGCATGTTACTGGTGACGTTAGCGTTCTCATTATCATATTTTTCATGGGCGATTGTATGGCTTTCTCTGAATTAGTTTCGAGCAGTTAACAGATTCTCATGAGAATTGTTTTGAATACGTGCCACTAGAGACCACTCTACCTGTCTGTCTAATTTCCTACCATCAGTAATACCAGCATGGTGGTCGTGTTAACTAGTCAGCAGCACTTGTAAAATAATATATTTGTGGTTATAATGGGTTTTCGAGAACTTTATTGCGTTTCTTCCTCGTTCTAGTGTAAACTTGATATTTGTATTTGAACCCTTAGTAGCCATGTTTGTAATTGACATCATTTCACAACACTTGTAAACCTAAATATACTATTAAGATTACGGAATAATGGAAGTTGAAATGATGATGCACATTCTCATTTAATGCAGATGTGTTTTTGTTAATTATAGGTTATATATTTTGTCAGAAAAATGGATCACATCTGTGTATCAGCATGTTTTCTCATAGTTGTGAACAGCATTGTATGAGTTACTTCAGTGTACACATGCAAATGCAGTTCTTATGTTGTTGTATGTCTTTATATTGTGTATTTAAGTTTTTGTGTCTGATAGGCCATTGCTGTTTGCAAACACTCAAATAAATAATCGGTCAGTTCTTTTTTAACACCTTAAAAACCCTGGAATAATGGCTGCTATTTATTTCTGAGTGCTGATGGATATTTTCATTCTTACATCATTCATTTCTTTATATGTGTCTCTTCACAAAGTAGAAATCCTTTAGTAAATTCCCAGGTTTGTATTCATTTTCAGGGACCAGGGCCAGGGACCAGTACAAACCAACCTCCACAACCATTCTTTGCACCACAAGGCCTGCCCCCAGGATATCCACCTCCACATTTTGGCCATGGAAGTGCTATGCAGCCAGGCGTCATGGGACATGTTCCTCCATCTGCACAGCAGGGTAAGTGACTTCAGAGGATAATTCTTACTACATGACACAGTATGTAGTAGATAGATACACAGTTGAAATTGTGAAGTGGATTGTTTTACTGCAAGTTACTGTTATTTGTATAGAGGGTTTTGCATGTACCTTCATTGTAAACAGATTCTGGCAGCCCAGATGCAACTCATGGTACTGAAAGTAGACAATCCAGAATAAGTAATTGTGTTTTGGCTTCTGCTAAATGCATGTGGGCCTCATTTTGTGAGTTTACAACATTCAAGATGATCTGCATCCTGAGAAGAAGCGGTTTTGAGAGGTTAAATGAACAAAATCAGCACTGCACCAATGTCTTGTACCATTATAAACTCAGCCACGAATATCTGTACACAAATCTTAATAGAAACTAAATAAAATCCTATTTAATAATATGCACTCTACTGCGGATTACTGACATGTGAGAAACATTACTCAGCTTCTTGTTAACAGAGTCCCTGTTATGATGGTTCCACAATCGGGTCCCTTGAAAACATTTAATATTAAAGCCCCCATATGACACCAAAACGTGCAATATGCATGAGATCTGAAGTTCTCATTGCAGTGACTATAAAGAGGACTGTCTTCAGGGATGTGGCATATCGGTAGAAGTTCAGCGATGTGTCTTCATCTTCAGGACCGAAGGATAAGCCAAGTAAACAAAAAGCAGAAGCTACCGGTTGCTGCTTTCTTGGTGCTTGGCATATTCTTTGGTCTTAAAAATGGGAAGTGCTTCTTCTGAAACGTCTAATGTTTAGTAACATCTACCAACCCACATGTCGTCACATGATAGAAGACAGTTTAGCTTGTTCATTGCCTCCTATTTGAGCTACCAGGACACTGTGGACAAACAAGTATGTTTGCTGTCTCCCGGCGTGACCTGCCAGGAAGCAGCAAACAGACAAGCTTGGCCACTTCTTGGCAGCTAGATCATCCAGTTTGCACTTTCTGGAAGTGCACACATGCAATACGCTTTGACAGCGGACAACCCCATCAGTCATATGTTTGTCTGCATTACACAAGGAACTACGTGGAATCATGTGTAGGTGCGTTCAAGCTTGCACACCTACGTGGCCTGAGTTTGCCGTCAGAGTATTGTTTTGGAAAACCTTGGCTTTCAAACTTCCCCAGAAAACCTTGCATGGAATCAGATTGGGTGAATGAGCAGTTCTCGGATAGTGATTAATTATTTGATCATGAAAAATTCTGCATGAGGTGGTCATTGCATTTGTGTTGTATGGGTAGTAGCACCATCTTGCTGGAAGAGCATATATTTTTTCTCATCATAACTTGCGGTTTGAAAAAAGAATTGTTCTTATATCTGAATTTAAGCGGCCTCCGTAGTCTAGAGGTAACGTTCCCACCTCATGACTCGTGGTACGCGGGTTCAAACCCGGCGGAGGTCGTCTAATTTTTAAGGGCGGAAAAAATTCAGGGAACAAGTCCTCCGGGAGGGACTTTAAGCCATGTATCCCATGTCGTAGCTTTACGGCATGTAAAAGAACCTCATATCTCCAAAGGAGGTCACTGAGCCAAATTCAAGGACGTTTCCCGCCCAACAGTAGTCCCTAACGCCTCTGATAGATGGGGGAAGCATTATAGACACCACCAAGCCAGTTGAGGCCGAACTCGCTGGCTCGGCTGGACTGATGGTACACACCAATATCGGTAGGGTATAGAGACTGGTAGAATATCATAGAGGGAAGCACAATGGACCAATACTGGTCTAAGTGCATGGGGAAACCCACCCTCTCCAATAACTAACTAACTATGTCTGAATTTATTGTCTCTGGGAGGAAGGAAGGAAGAAATTGCCAGTAATTCTTGTTGCAATAATAGCACATAGAACACTAACTTTTAATATATTGTAAGCACATATATGTCAGCGTGGGATTTTGTGATGTCCAGTGTATGTTATTGTGAGAATTTACATGCCCACTAAAATGAAATCATACCCCATCTGAGAAATAATTTGGCAATATGTCAGTTGCATCACTGTATGTTGCCTCACAAATTCAGTTACAAAATTGCACTCTTCTTAACAGAATATGTGTTGTGTAAATTTTGTATATGCTGTAAATGAACCGAGTTTATAGTTCAGTGCGCGTATAACTTTGCTCTACTGGTTTGTTGGATAACCATTTTAAAAACTGTAGTGGTGATGCATATAAATGAGCTCTGGTATTATGTAATGTTTCTTTTGTAATAACATGTGCTCATTTCTGCTTCTTGTGTGTTGTTTTTGAAAGAAGTACCAGGAAATTTACTTTTTTATTTCATTCATTCATTCATTCATTGTTTGAGGAGGTGGGTTTCCCCATGCACTTAGACCAGTTATTGGTCCATTGTGCATCCCCCTTTAATTTCTACTGTCTCCATACCCTACCGGTACTGGTGCCCGTTATCAGCCCCTTTCTGCCAGCGAGGTCGGCCCTCTACTGGCATTGGTATCTGATAATTAGTCCCTTTCTGTCAGCGAGGTCGGTCCTCATCTGGCAGTGGTACCTAATACTTTCCCCATCTACCGGAGGCATTGGAAACTACTTGGGCGGGAATATTTGCCTAATTTAGCTCAGAGGTCTCCTAGAGACATGAGGTTCTTTTACGTGCCGTAAATCTACGACACGGGACCCACCGCTTAAAGTCCCTCCCGGAGGACTTGTTCCCTGAATTTTTTCCGCCCTTAAAAATTCCATGATCTCCGCCAGTTTTGAACCCGCATACCGTGAGTCATGAGGTGGGAACGTTTTCCTCTGGATGTAAATTAGAAATAGGTGTGCTGTGCTGTATTTCGTTTCTAGTAGCAGCAGCACGCACTTGTCTGTCATGATTTGAGTTGAGACCAACTACAGGTGGAAAATCTATTAGGAAGTGAGTTGCTGACAACGCAATGAGCGACTGATAGAGCTGAGTAAGCTTAAGATACATGGGACTTTTACTGCCACTCTGTTCTAGCACTGACAGATGCCTCAACTGGGGTTCCCTACTCCTCACTTCAAAGTTTCATCCCATTAACATTCATACTTCATGTACATTAAGCATTTCAGGTAAAACTTAGAAGTTTGTCATTATATGCTTTATTTTAGTGCTGAGAACTTAAGTGCCCTTAGAACTCACCCACTTTCAAACTGATGCTACTTTTCAAATGTTGAGGAACCATAATATGAATGTGTTCTCAGATGGCATTCAGAAGAGAGTGAGAAAGCTGTAAACAGCTATGTTCAGATTTTATGAAGCGGACAGCCTACTTAGACAGCTTGCTACGCAGGGCAAGTCCATCAGCATTAACATTCTGGTGTTTGTATCTGGCTGTTACACAAGTACAGTGAGGTCTAGACCTAAGTGATCGGCACTTTAACGGATCTTGGAGCTTGGCGTATCCCGGCCAGAACCGATGCCATTAGACGAGAGAACGTTTTGGGAATCGGCGCTTTTTTTTTTATCAAGAACAGTACCTGTTTCTCGCTACTTGTTAAACAATTTCAGAACACATTTTTTATGGTCCCAAATCCTTCGGATAACGCTGTCGGAACTCGCACGGGGCATGAAGGACTACTTCAAAAGAAATATCTCGACAAGAAATACACTTTCCGTTGTGTACCAAACTCACGTCCCGTCAGCATGAGAAACAGCCTTCAGTGAGCAGGCCTGTGTCCGAGTAAGGGCGGGGCACACCAAGGAAACTGGCAACTGCAACGCAACCGCAATTTCCGAGAATTGTTATCAGCCCGAATTCAACACGTTACTGAATGGAGCAGCGCAAATTGAGGAAACGGCAACGCAACTCGCGTAGAGACTGAGAAACTCAACTTCAGGCAACGGAGCATGCCAGTCTTCTCACAACTGCGATGCCGCGTGGTTTCCTAATGTCAGCTTTTATATAACGCGCTTCGGTGATTCATTTGTTTCTTGAGATGGCACGACAGGTTGACGAAGCTACTAATTTTGCTTTTCTACAGCTAATTGAACAAGAGTCTGGTATATATGACAAACACCGTTCAGACTGTGCTAGGCGGGACAAAATAGATTTGACTCGGGAAGCAATTTCTCATGAGACGGAGGAGTCTAGATCCAGGTTAAGTTTTTTTTCGAAACAATATATGCGCCATAGTTTAAATTGTTACAGAAGAACGGATGCACCCAGTGTTCTCTTTTCCTAATATTGTATTTAAGGACCCTGTTGCATTAAGCTCCTGCCTACAGATCCAGAGGTCCCGGGTTCGATTCTCGACGCTGCAAGATTTTCTGAGAAGTAGTGGGTCTGGAACGGGGTCCACCTAGCCTCGTGAGGATAACTGAGGAGCTATTTCAAGGAAATAGCGGCTCCTGTCTAGAAAACCGAGATTAACGGCCTTGGGGATCCGTTGCGCTTACCACGTGACACACTCTATCCGCTAACGTTGGCAATAACTTCGCCGACAAGCGGCGATCGCTCGGTCGGTATAGTTCGCTTGCGGGCTACAGGCCACGGAATTTGTTTGTTGCATTAATATATCATTTATTTCACATATATTTCGGTCTTAAATACAACTTATTATATAGTCACCTTTCTTCCACACCACATGGTTCGGCTGTATACGGCAATCATCAGGTGTCTTCTATGCTGTTAAAATTGCTGCACTGTATATTTCGTATAGCGTTTGAACGCTATATTTCCTGACTAAAATAAATTGACCTTAATTAAAACGAATTAACATTCCAACATTTTCCTTATAGTCGTCGCCCTCCCTTCTGACACCGTCTCATCCGGGCTCAACTACCGCCGTATTATGACTGGATCAGTATTATTATCTTCCATTGCAGAAGGTAAGTGCATGAAATAAAAAAAAATACGGTCGTGCATTACGTCGGACGCACATACCCACTTAAGATGACGTGCGCGACTAATCAAACATAAGTTTCCTCAGTGTGCGCCTGATAATCTGGAAACTAGTTGCCTGTTTGAAATCTGCGACATTTCTCTGAAATTTCGGCTGCGTTGCGGTTGCCGGTTTCTTTGGTGTTCCCTCGCCCTAACATGTCGGCACAAAGCGAGCCTTTGTTATACAGCGTGACTCATGGTCAAAACATCACTCGCGCTCACGTCCTTAGTTCGTAAAATATTCCCGGGCAAGTGCAATGGAAGCCATTCGACTTTTAAACCCCGTTAAAGTGCGGGCCACGTACGTTTGAACCTTACTGTATATTTCATAGACCAACCTAGCTGATGTAATGCGTCAGGCCTATAGTTGGCTCGTTTCGAATTTGAATACTGACTGAGGAGTTCTGTTATTTTCCTCAGTCACTGTTGGTAAATGCCAGGCTAGGAAATCGAAATAGGCCCGACAACTCCTTTCTTTTGCATACGATTCAAGATCTTCTCAACCCAGTAATGCATAACCTCTCCAGTTAAAATAGCATCATAAATAGCATAAACAACCATATCATGTGATTAATTCAGCCCCAGAAGGAGTTAAGTTAGCGTTTCTTAGAAGAAATCATGGAGGATAAGTTCTTAAATTATCTATTCCTACTTGAGGCTTGGTCCACGGGTAATAAAAATTTCAAAATCCTGTTAAAACTAAGAGAACTGATTTTTCTGTTACTGTTGTTATACAGGACACTCACCACCTCCACCACCACCACATAATTTCAAGGATGAGAGGACACAGCGTCAGTATATCAAGCTGAAGAAAAAGCTGGAGCAGAAACATATGCGAGGAGACAGTCTTAGTATTGCCTCTTCACAAGTCACACCACCTATCTCTCCCAGAAAAGGTAATTACATATTAGTAGAGTGATCTAAATATGTAGGTTCAAATTGTGTGTCCTGTGCACCGAAGTAGTATTGTAGACAGAGGGAGGAAGATTGCAAATGTACCCCAGTTTTTGTGTCCTCCGTTTTGAAATCTTCATACTCAGTATCATTCTTTGGAAACTCCCCATTGACAGTGTCCTCACATATATGAGGGGGTACCCAAAAGAAACCGAACTTATTTTTTTTAAAACTTATTTATTCAAATTTTAAGCACAAACCTTCAATCCCCTTCAAAGTACTCTCCACTTACACTAATGCACTTGTCTAGTCTTTTATTCCATTTTTCAAAACATTTTTTAAATTCATCTTTTGAGATGCTTGACAGCACTTCCGTCGTTTTTTTCCTTCACCTCAGCAACATCAGCAAAAGGCTGAAAAAAAGTTTTGATCATTTCGGGACTCTTCTTTCAAAGCACAGCATGCTTCCACGCGACCTTGTTTTTGTTCAGCAGTCAGCAGTCATGGCACGAATTTCGCAGCCACCCTTTTCATTCCCAAATCTTCTGGCAAAATTCGCTGAACTGAGCTCCAAGTCACTCCCGAGAGCTCCACAATTTCTTCAGTGGTCCGTCGTCGATCTTCCTTGATGATTTCACGAATTTTTTCAACATTTTCATGTGTTCGGGCCATTGCAAAAACGACGATCACACAGAACAGTTGTCACTATGAACTCTGCCGAAACTAGTCCTTACCTTCTGAAGCAACGGTAGTCGGCTTATCGACTCAGGAATGTTAGCTCTATGCGCTCATAGCGGCAAAACGCGGTACTACAAAAGCTCTGCCCACAAAAAAATTAGTTCGGTTTCTTTTGGGTACCCCATCGTAGGATACATGGTTCAGTCTGGTCAGCAGGCTGGCCCCGTTTTGACTCCTTTAGGAGGTCACATATCTTAGACTGTGGTATGGAGACTTGAGTGGATGCATGTATCGGTATCCTGTGTCTTATTTATTTACTTTTGGGTTTTTTTTGTGCATATGTTTAAACATCACCAGTTCTAAGTGCAGCTCTCAGGGCCTTAGGAATTGTGGTTCTTGACTCTTAGTCTTGTTTGATGACTGTCCTCGTCCTTTTCATCCAGGTTTCTTCCATAAACCCTCATCCTCCGTAACCATCATCATCATCAGTAATCTGTCAAGACGACAGGTCCACAGTCTCTTCCAAGACAATTCCTCCATTTAATGCGATCTAGAGCTTTCTCCTTCGAATGATAGTATCCTCTTCTGTCCCCAAGGTCATCCAGCATCTTCTTATGTCTTCTTCCTCGTCTTCTTGTCACTTCTATCTGCCCCTCTATCTTTCCTTCGATAACTTCTTTTAGAAGGCAGTTTCTGTGTAAAACATGACCAATCCAATTAGCCTTCCGTTTTCTTATTTCGTGTAAGATATTCCTCTGCTCACTGACTCTAATTAACACTTCTTCATTTCTCGCATAATCGGTCCAACTGATCTTCTCCATCCTTCTCCAACACCACATTTCGAAACTTTCCAGATGTTTCTGATCTACTGCCCTAAGTGTCCATGTTTCAGCCCCATACAGAGCTATGCTCCAAATGTAGCATTTCACTAGTTTCTTCCTCAAATTTAAGTCCAATTTGCTGGTAAAAAGATTCTTCTTCTTGCTAAATGCAGCTTTTGCCATGGCAATCCTGGATTTAATTTCACTAGTACACCTTCCATCATCTGTTAACAAGCTACCCAAATATTTAAAACATTTCACATTCTCCAGTTGTTTTTGGTCTATCTTTATTGTGACTGGGGTTGGTTGTATCGAAATTTTCAGTCGCCATCTTTATCAGTGAGTAATATTTACTCAGATCTGTGACCCCCATTTTTAACACTGAATCTGTGGAAGAAGATTCTTTTATATATTTGTTTTTAACTTTACATGCTCTTTGCAGCCATATGAATAAGGGTATACTTGCCTGCTTGAATGAATGAATGAATGAATATCAGCAGTGCAAGAAAAATTACAGGAATCCATTGGGTGAAGTATGATGATTATATTGCAATGTCTATCAGTATTTTAAGCAGTTGTTGCACTCCCCCTCTCACTGCTTATGCTCTTAAGGTCAGTTTCTGTCCACTTGTCACTTTACAGCAGCCCCACTACTCGCTCACTGCACTCACTCACTCCTTTCTGCTCCTCTCTCTTCACTGAAATGAGAGTTGAGTTCCTGATAAGTCGCAGACTAACTGAATGATGGTGGACCTACTAAGGGACTGGCAGACCATCTGACTGTCATGCTCATGTCAAATACACAGACTGTCTTCTCTGTCTCACATATTTGCACTATGTGCACCTGAATTAAACTGTGCTCTCGTGAGAATCTGACGGCCATTTCGTAGGTGCTGCCACACTTCAGGAAGGTTCTAGAGAATTCTCAGGCCACATTGGCCTTTGGCATCAGCTTAGTGGTTTCCAGAACATAGCTGAAGCCAATGACTGATGACCAAAGTAGATAGCTGGACAGTCTTTCAAAGCACATTCACAATTGCATAGATGGCCTACCTGCCATTACCATTTTCACTGGAGCTGTGCTGATCATACCATGTTCAAAATACTGTGGTAAAGCAGTTGCATCCATAACTGACAAATGTTCAGTTCATTGTCAGATACAGTAAATAATCATTATGAAGGCCTGGGATGCAACAGACGAAATCGAACTATGTACAATCGTTAATTTCTTGAGATGTTGAGACATTAAGAAGGTTTTATATTTAGAAAGTTATTTAAAATAAAAAAGACCCCAATGTAAAAACCTTTATGTAATTTCATTGTGTTTGTATGTATATTGTGTGTATTGACTATCTATCCTATGGCATACTTCCATGAATAACCCGTCACGCGGTTATAGGGGGCATCAACAATGAGGGAGGGCCTCTCCCCCATTAGTCCATTATACTCGTAAAGAGGGGTTTACTCTGTAGTGTTTTGTATGAATTGAGGTGTGTTGGGTTTAAAGAATATGTTATGTAAAGAATGTGGAATACTGAGGAAGAGTAACATCTGTTTTAGAACTGGTGAATGGTATGCGGCGGGGCAAGGAGCGTGGAATAAGTAGTGTTGGGACTTCGGAAGACGGTGAAGAAAGCAGTAGTATACAGGATGAGGAGGAGGATGTGCATCTCATTGTGGAGATGTTGTCCACTGTCAAATCTCCACAGGTGAAGCAGAAGTTTAATGGCATACAGTTTGGGAATGATTGTTCTGCTGCAGTACACATTAATAGCTAATTTTATGATTTGTGCATCATGTACAGGTATTTTTAAAAGGGAAATTGATGGTTGCAAAAGAGAAGAATGCTTGTCTCTGGCATCAGCATTCCTCAACTTTCCCACGTGGTAATGCACTAGAATGCCTTTTGTCAGACTAGATCGTAGTGTTATAAGTGCTTTACATGTATTCATTTGTGTGAGTTGCACTAACGTGCACAATCATTTGCATTACTGTGTTTATGTGATTCTTACTACTTTGTTGTGCTTTTCATTTGTTTGTGTGTTTTAAAATGTGGGGGGGGGGGACTTTGTCATATGGGATCACTATGCTGTCAAAATGTGTGTTACTTTTCTTTCACCTTCTGAAGCAGGCTGCTGATTTTAACAAAAGTTCATGTGAACATTATGCCATTGAAGCGCATTCCAAATTTTTCACATTTTACTTTCCTTATGTCAGTAACAACAACTTGGTGAATAAATGAAGTTCTGAATAAGATAAATATGTACCAAATGTAGTAAAGCTTATGAAAATGATAAAACACACCAGTTTAACAGAGATACACAAATTCCATAACATGTTCACCAGGAATTAGGCTTATTTTTGAATGGAATAATTGGCAGTCATGGATAAATTGAAAGCACTACCCTTAGCTGAAAGAAGTAATGACATTTTTAAACTAGCATATTACAGCAGTTGTTTCTGATGAGTCCTTTCAGGAATATGTGTGGAGGAAGTGAGGAAAAACATGAATAATTTTAGTCATTATGCATGGTATTTGGGGGCTCCAGAATATGAATCAGGAGTGGTAATTGCTTGACTTCATCTTTGACATGTTTTGGATCTGGTATGAGACATTTTAAATAACTTTGAAGTGTCAGATTGGCTGTTAGAATTTACTCATCCTGGAAGGAGAGGAGCAGAAGAAAATGTCATTAAATTTTATGTAACATGGTCTGTTGTTTGATGCTGCTTCTGTGAAAATGGGAGCAGACAAAAGGATGATTTGTGCGAAAGAGATTGTTGTACTTTTTGTTACAGGTTACAGAATTAACCTCGCGTAGTGCCTTACTCCAATGGTCACCCCCAGAACGATTTAGTGAAGCTTCCACTTTCGAAGGAAAAAGCTCTGAATGTGACTTTTCGGAAGCAGACCTCCGTTATGAGGTGTTGCTGAGTGACAAGGGGAAGGAAGGAAAATATAAGTCAATATACAGTGGGATTTCCCTTTCTTGCAGGTATGAGACTAAATGACTTTTATCTTGTATGCTATCATCATCATCGTAATCATAATCATCATCATGCATTAGGATGTGTGGTCTGTTCCGTCCTCTTGAAGAGTATGTTGGTCTCTGTGTCTTAACTGTAGGTATCCCATGTGTCAGCCTCATTTTAGGTTGTGTGTTACAATTTTCTTCAGAATGTGCCAGTCTTCCATTCGTTACACACGATATTTTCGTGGTGATATGGATTTTAGATTTCTGCTGTTTAGATTAAAGATATTCAGCCCTTCCCTAATTTAGTATTTCTTATTTGGTCTTTCGTTGTGTTGCCTTCGTTTTTTTTAATAGCTCATATCTTCGATCTGTATGTAAGTTTATTATTATTATTATTATTATTATTATTATTATTAGAGGGGGTGGGTTTCCCCATGCACTTACACCAGTTATAGGTCCATTGTGCGTCCCCCTTTAATTTCTACTGTCGCCATACCCTACCGGTACTGGTGCGTGCTATCAGCCCTGTTCAGCCAACGAGGTCGGCCCTCAGTACCTGATATTTCCCCGATCTACCAGAGGCATTGGAAACTACATGGGCGAGACTCTTGTTGCCTAATTGTGCTTGGAGGTCTCCTAGAGACACGAGGATTTTTTACATGCCGTAAATTACGACACAGGACCCACGGCTTCAAGTCCCTCCCGGAGGACTTGTTCCCTGAATTTTTCCGCCCTTAAAAATTCCAAGACCTCCGCCGGGTTTGAACCTGCATACCTTGAGTCATAAGGTCGGAACGTTACCCCTAGACTACGGAGGCCGCTGTGTAATCGTATATTCTGTCATAGGTTTATAAAAAAACTTCTTTTTATCGTGCCTTGCCTCATTATTCAGTGTTCTTATTGTGCTGCACATTTGGTTGCATCTGTTCACTTTTGTTTCTAAATCTTTGTTGTTTGTTACAGTTTGCTGTAATATTTGATAGAATTTGAAAATATACAATAAGACATACCTTGTTATAGCAAAAGTTTGAACTATGAAAGATATCCATGGTGAAGTATCTTTCTTGACAAATTAATGTTGTTCAGGTAATCAGAAAATACTTAACCACCGTAAATAGTTCCTGAAATTAATTACCTTTTCGTCCATATAAATTGGTGCTTTTGTTTTGAAAGCAGATGTTTGTAACATTGATACTTCCTGTGCTGAAGTTTGTCTGCTTCAATCAGGATTGAAGATCTGAGGCCTGGGACAGAATACTCAGTATGTCTGCAGGTCCAGCTTGAAGAACTGCAAGGTTCAGTATCAGAGCCTACAACCTTCACAACTCCGCCCTGTGAACCTGATCAGCCACAGCCCCCCAAACTAATCACCCGTTCTCGTACTAGCCTTCAACTCAGGTAAGTGGAAGCTTGAATGTGTTGGTTATTTACTGCTGTACGTAGGATGGCACTGACTTAGTCCAGGAAGTGCATCATTGGCACCTAGATCAGTTCTATCCTTTTCAAATGTAAATCTACATTAACAAACTTGGGCCCTCCCACAACAATATTATGTACATAGACCATAAGCAAAATGAAGCGAGTATTTCCCCCCCCCCCATCCTTACAAGCCAAAGTAGGAGCCAGGATAGCATAGTCGGTATAGCAACTGCATATAGGCTGGACGACCAAGGGGTTGGAGTTCGAGTCCTGGTAGGGTTAAGAATTTTCTCTTCTTCACGTTGTCCAGACTGGCTCTGGGGCCCACCCAGGTTTCTATCCAATGGATACCAGGGACTTTTTCCCCAAGGGTGAAGCTGACCACTCACCTCCAAGTAGTGCCGAGGTCAAGAAAATGTGGATCTGTACATCCACTCTCCCTTCTTGACATAGTGCTTAATTAGTTAAGCACAAGGACAACTTTACCTTACCTTTACAAGCCAATGTTTGGTAAGATGGTAAACAACATACAAAGGATCTCTTATTTATAACATTGACCTTGCATCATGTATGACCCATGTGCCATTTTATACTGCTGCATGCAGCTATGTAGATGGCAGGACATTATGTCATTGGTTCCATATTATATGCAATATGGCTTTTTTCTACTAATTTCAAATTCAAGAAAAATTTTGTGGAATTTTTATATGTACAGAGTTTTTGCAGAGAAGGTATACAGAGGTTAATTTACTGCTCTACAACCTTGACGTGGGTTACATATTGTGACATGTTGCGCAACGGAGGACCCCTACCTCCCCAGCGGCATGTGGCGGTAACCTAGCGCTCTCGTAATAGGCGAGTCATCACCCCGCCACTCTCCCCGCGGTGACGTGCCGAGCGGAGCCGAAGTTAGCCGAGTCCCCGCAACCTTGTAGCTATGCAACGCGAGTCAACAGCGGTGACGTCACCAAGGGGTAACAGCGTTGCTAGGCTATACGCCACGTCACAATAGTGACGTGGCGGGCGACCCTAGCAACAGCGAACGGAATAAAAGCTGGCTGAGCAGCAAGCGAGAGTCAGTGTGTTATCAACGAGTTCTCAGTTCGCAAGTTACGAGCTACAGACGTGTGTGCGAGAATCAGTGATAGTTCGTGATAGCCAATTATATTTGGAGCGTGTAATTCAGGAGACTTGTATAGCTCCCGCGCTATTAATACGTGAAGACTCTGGAAGATAGTGTTAAGAGATTTTGTTGTAGAGTTTGTAAAGTGTGGAAACCCGTAACATTGTGATAATTAATTGTAGCCGTTATTTGTAGATAGTTAAATAAACCAATTAACCATCTCTACGGCGTCTTAAGTAACGAAACACGTTACAATATAATCCATTGCAATTTCATAAGTAAAAATCTGGGAGTGAAATTAGATTATTATTGCAGACGTAGTCATACATTGAATAGAGATATATAGTATAATGCTGTCCCTTTAATATTTGAAAGTGTCATTGTGAATACAAAAATACATTAAACTGAAAATTGATGAAAGCAAGTGTCAAAACTGTCACATGAAATATTTTTTTGATATTGTGAATGTTTTATGAAATAGTGTAAAATACTTCGTGGCTCTGTAATTTACTGCCCAGTATAATTAGATTTGTATCTGTAATATTTAGGGAGTTCATTTGCGGCTTAGCTGCTTTATGCTATCACTGCAATGTTTTTTTTTTACTTCACCCTGATGAGCAAAAGTTGGCACTTTCTTATGGTATTCATGTCCTGCATTTATCTTCGAAAACAAGAAATTAATAATATTCGCAATATAAAAGTCTATTCCAAACAGTGTGACTCAGTCTTATACTATTCAGTTATTCAGTATAGAGAGGGTGGGTTTCCCCATGCACCGCGACTGATAGTCTATTGTACGTCCCCCTTTTAATTTCTACTGTCGCCATACCCTACCGATACTGGTGCCCGCTATCTACCCTTTCTGCCAGCGAGGTCGGCCCTGTACTGGCAGTGGTACCCGATAACTCCCCTTTCTGCCAGCGAGGTCGGTCCTCTACTGGCATTGGTACCTGATAACTTCCCATCTACCGGAGGCATTGGAAACTACTTGGGCGAGAAACTTTTTGACTGATTTTGTTCAGAGGTCTCCTAGAGACATGAGGATCTTTTACGTGCCATAAATCTACAGCACGGGACCCACGGCTTGAAGTCCCTCCTGGAGGACTTGTTCCCTGAATTTTTCCGCCCTTAAAAATTCCACGACCTCTGCCGGGTTTGAACCCGCGTAACTTGAGTCATGAGGTGGGAACGTTACCCCTAGACTACGGAGGCCGATTCAGTCTTATACTAAGTATATTTCCTTTGTGTAGGAAATGAATAAGTTTGTGCTAGAGCATGGGGGTGTTTGGGGTGAACTTGAAAGGAATAGAGTGTTTTGTGAAAGATTATACATTATGGTTTGTGACCATCTTGTTCTCTCACCTTCAGTGTATGTAATTTCCTTTTGTGGGGTTTAAAAGATAAAGTCTATCAACCAGTCCACATAAGAACCCAGAGAAAACACACAAGTTGAAGTATTCTTTATATCCAGATAAGTGTTGTATGTGAGCCAGGATCCGTTTCAGAGATATGGAGAATGTATCCAAGCTGATTGAGAATGCTTTCAGCATCTCCTGTTGTGTAGGCACTGGGGCATCTTAATTTGTTCAACATTTTTTCCAAAGGAAAGTTGATGAGGGTGAAGTTGCATAAAACAATGTAATAACCCATAAGAACCAATGGAAATATCTGAGATTTGCTACAGAAAGGATTAGAATATTCTTGCTGATTCAAGCTGATTGGCTTGTGCAGTACAGTATATCATTTTCTTATATTAATAATATTTGTATCATTTCAGTATGAATACATTTTGGTTATAGTTATTTACTTTTAAAAACAGTGCTATGCTAAGAAGTGGGATTCCATAAATTCCTTGAAACATTGCAGAAAACTGTGCCCCTGAGTCAGAGTCACTTCCCAAGTTGTCCTGAGAGACATGTGCACATTCTGTCTGTCTCTTTCTCTCTCAAACAGCAAAATAAAACACACAAACATAGCATACTTTAAACACTGTTAAATAGTTTTTAGATGACAGAAATACTTTATATTAATAATAAAGACATAATTAAAAATTAACGCACAGGTCTCCCAGCAGATGGCATGATAAATTAATAGGTAGGTGATCTGATGGATGAATCATTGAGTTGCATGGATAGAGGATTGAAAATGATGTTGAAGAAGGTGATTGTGGTGCTACAGAAGGGGATTGAATTATTGAAAACAGAAAATTAGCGTCTGTGGTGATGTAAGTTATGGTGAAATTTCACTACTGAATTTGCTTGACCTGACTTCTTTAAGAAATCGGCCGTCTTTAGTTACTCCCCTCTCTCCCTGCAAGTGTCAGCCAGCCAGCAAGCAGTTCGCAATGAAGCAAGTGCTATTGAGATAGATCTAAATTAGTTGAATGCATTAAAATTGAACTTCATTTTGAAATTCACATATAACAAAGAGTACATACCTGTATTTATGAGTTACTTGTAGACTGTCCTCATTGCAGATGGAATGCAGCTGGAGACAATGGGTCACACATAACGCAGTACATTTTAGAGTATGATGAAGGTAAAGGTGGAGATTTTGTAGAAGTGTTCAAGAGCAGAGGAAAGCAACATAATCTTACCAAACTGCAAGCTTCAATGTGTTACAGATTCAGGCTGGCTGCAGTAAATGAGTATGGTAAAAGGTATGTTGCATGTATCATTGATACACCTCAAATGAATAAAGTTGCTGTGTTTAACTTTACAAACTCAGCAAATGGGCGTAGTTGTAACATTTCTAAGTTACATACAGGGGTCTTGATCGAATTCATGTCCAGGGTGAGTATTAGCAGGGAAATGCCAATATAAATGACATCTACACATATTACAATAAATTAGTTACTATAGGATTCTGACGATGTTGTATAACACACTGATATATTGGGTTTTTGGACTTCATCCATCGTCCTGGTTTTTAAGATAACTAATAAAAACACGATGTTTTGGGAACTGGATCTGTTTCCATCCTTAGATGAAGGAAAACACCTATTCTGTTGGGTCCGTTAGAAAGAGCTAGCCTCAATCACTGAAGTCCAAAAACCCAATATATCAGTACAATAAATTATTTTAAATTTACTAGCAGACATGTTTTGGCTTGTCATGCTCATCAGGTTGTAGTATAATTTACCACCTCCACTTGTATGATTTATAATACCCTGTACCCCCCCCCCCAAATTGATTCATAACTCATATTTTGTGTGAATTGAAAAATAGGTAAGTTTGTATGAGGATGTAGATTTATAACTAATCTGTGTGTGAAGAATACTTGTTTCCAGGTACCTGTATCTGTGACTAGTGTAACATTTGTTGTCTTTTGGAGCATTTAATGTTACATTCTTCAGATCCTGATGTCAGCTTCTTCTTGTCCACTTTTGTTTCACCTCATACTATAAACATACTGATGTCTAGGTGTCATTTCCAAGTGTTTTATTGTTAATGCCTTTTATGAGGTCCATGAATATATGTATCAGAGCTGCTTTGTCACTAATGCCCGAAGATCCCGTTACATTACTGTCTTTGGGGTTGATAACGATTCTTTCCACGACACTGTCTCATGCTCTGTACTGTTGTATTCTTCTTTTGCAGCTTTAAAATTCTGCAGACAGCAGCCCACTCCTCTCTCAAAGCCGCCAGTTGCTGAACATCTCACAGTTTAAATGTCACCCCATATTTTACTATACTCTGAATGTGTTTTGTGGGTTTAAATTTGAGTCTGATCACTGCATGTTCATGCTTGACAAGAGGTGATTAATAACACGAGGCCCTAGCTGTGGTTTCTGAATTCTTGTCAGGTCATACATCTCTACATTTGTCATATTGGAGCAGTCTCATATACATGCTCAACCAGAATAGCATTCTAGTTTTCTTTTTGGTCAATGGATTTATTCACACAACTCAGAACTACAAGTAATTACAGTGTTATTGCTGATCTACACTCTTTACAGATCACTAGCACACGCTAAATCTTCCCAGTCTTCATTATTTATATCATGGCAATGGATTTTAACACAGCAATGATAACAGTCTCACTGTAACTACACCGTATGTAAAGTCTTCTTTTCACAGCTGCAATCTTGCAACAAACTCTTTTCTTCACAGTCTTCCATACAGAACTCTACTGAACTGCCAACCCTCAACTAACTGGGTCCCAGGTTGGCAGTAATTTCACACCACCCTCCTAGCCTTTTCTTCACAAGCCGACTTTCAACTGACAACTGAACTGATAAACTTAATTGTCCTCAAGGTAACTCCTCGACGTGGACCACATAGGACAGGATTTTTAGTTACTGTATTTATTACATATTGATTTGCACTTAAACTTATGAATTATCACCATACAGATTTTATTTTTGTGTGATACTTCTAGTGTGGGTGTTACAGGTATGTTTACTGCATATAATGTTAGAGAATGTCATACTTGTTTATTGTGATTCATTAATTATCACCATGAATCCAAGAGATAAAAATCCATTTCACATGGTCACAGCATTTTCAATATATGTGATAATAACAAATGTTGTCTCTCTTTCCAAAGTCTGTCACCATTTGAAATTTATTTAAATCATTAATAACTAAGAATTAAAAATGTTGGAGGTATGCTAGCTTTCAGTGGTATGATGATAATAACAGCATTTCATGAAAGCACTTCACAAATGGCATTCTCAGTGACGGTACATTGCTTTGGAAGCTCATAATTGTAGTGGGAAGTGTGGTAACATAGTTGGTTGAGGCACTATGCTACAAGCCAGAAGGTAGTGGGCTTGATTCTCAATTAGGTCAGTGGATTTTTCAGTTTACATAATCCTTCCATCTGCATTATTGCCCTGGGGCTGACTCAGCCTCTAACAGGAATGAGTACCAGGAATTTTTGTGGGGGTAAAAGGTGGCCAGTGTATAAGGCTGACAACCTCACCACCATCTGTGAGCATGTTTTCCAGAAAATATGGGAACCTTGACGTCTCACAACCCTATGGGCCTCCACGGCCTGCTACTGGGATATGTGTACCTTTCTTTTTTATATATACCATAATGATAGTGGAAAATTTTGAAAATTATTTCCCTTTCCAGTTGTTATTCAGACGTGGTACAGTTTTCAACATCTGGAAGTCCCCCCAGCCAGCCTGCTCCACCAGTACTGAAAGAAGCCTCAATCACCAGTCTCCATCTGGCATGGCAGAGACGTCAGGTCGATGATGACTTTTCATTACAGATGGATCACAGAGAGCTGGGGCATGGCTTCCTTCCAGTCTACAATGGCAAAGACTTGCATTATGTCTGTGAGGGACTTCGCAGGCATACAGAATACTGGTTTCGAGTAAATATATAATTTTATTCAGTTGAATTAAATCAGTGATTCACCAATTTCTTCCACTGTCATTAATGCAACATAAAATCAGTCACATTTGCTGCATCTCTAAAGGTCTGTGATTTGTAAGATTTGAGGTTCTCGTGTATTTTTGATGGCCCAATTGTTTTATTTGGTGGCATCATTTCCCCGCATGCATCATCGCCTATTGTCACATCTTCCCACCCATCAACATGCAACAACATTTGTTTTGCTCTTGTTCTCACTTTCCTAAATTTTATTTCTCTGTTATTCAGTCACAGTTTCTCGTTTCATTTCCAAATTAATCTCATCATCAGACTAAATATGGAGTATTCACTTAACATATCACAACTAGATTTGTCATCCACATCACACAAGGGATTATATCTAGTTTCATGAATTCAGAGGGCCATGGTTCGGCTGAATGTAAACGCATGCTACTAACACTTGACACGCCCCAGTATATAAATGACATTCCTTCCTCAAGACCTTCAAATTATGACTTCCAGATGGCAGAAGGAGGCAGACAAAACATTCATGCATGCTTTAGTATAGTGTACAGTGCCAACTAATGACATGTGATCAAAATATGACTGCAGAAACACAATCAGACTTTGTCCATAATATATTGACATTTGCCCATGGAAGCACAGTCACCAGTCAATTATATATCAACATTTTACTGGAAGGAGTTAAACAAATTTCCAAATGAAATTTGTAAGTTATGTTTTTTTTCTCAAAGAAGTGAAATCAGAATTTTTAAAAATATTATTGGAAAAAAGTGTAGATATTTGAGAACTAGTGAATGAAATGATATCACTGTTAGGCAGTATTCATCCTGTTATCAGGTGAATATCTGAAATATCTCATTCATTATTTTCATACACATCTTTTTATTACTGTGAAATCTCTTTCAGTAAATGAATGATATTACAGAATTCAGCACATTTAGTCAGATGTTTCCATTGCAGTCACACAGTTACATCCTTAACAGAGAAAGTATTGCTTTTCGCTTAACATCAATCAACATTCTGATGCAGCTATATTGTAGTCATTGTGTTGGGGATACATAACTTTATATGTTGCATGTAAGCAATAGAAAGTTTGTTAATACTGTCTATCTGTTGTGAATTGCTTCAGCTTCGTGCTCACAATGAGGAAGGCCCCTCGCGTTGGTCTGATGAAGTCTGTTACCGCACACTACCAGACCAACCAGCTGCACCTCCCAGGCCTACTGTCAAGGGCCGCATTCATGCTCAGACATTCAAAATGAAGTGGGATCCTCCATCAGACCAGGGTGGTGCCGATGTTACCACATATATTTTAGAACTTGATGGGGGAAGTGGTAAGTATTAATACAAGTAATGGATTTTGAAACAGTTGTGGGAGTGAATGATTGTAGAATATGAGGTTAATCTCTCAGTGCAGTTCAGTATACTCTGTAAAACAGGCCTCCATGTTATTTTTCACCATCCCTCATACTCAGAATATTGTCGCATATTGGCTCTATGCAGGAACTGTTGAGCCACAGAGGCCTCAGGGCACGTGCACAGTGTGAGAGTTGCGGATTGTATCGGCGCATTGCTAGGCGACAACTCAGTGAATGCTTGGATTGTGCAGCAGGAAGTGCGAGTGGCATCACGTATCCCACGGATCCCGTAACTATGCAACGCTTGGTAAACAGCCCTCCCTGCTAGGCTGATGTCACATAACGGGAGGCCGTGCAGAGAGTATTGCTAGGCAGTCGGTAAACGCGACGTCACGCAACAGTGGTAGTAGCTATCGCATAACTGTTTTCTGTGTTGTCAGTGTGGAAGCTACATAACAAGGAGTATTCATCAGTTTTGAACCAGAGAGAGAATTACTAGTATTGAGTATGAGTTGAAGTCCAGCAGCACTGAGCTGTTGTTGAGTTGTATCGAGTGAATGGAAGGAACTATAGCAGGAGAAGTAATTGCGAATCTGCAGATGGCAGTAATTGTGAAATTGTGGATTGTGTAAGTGTACGAATGAGTGTTCAATAAATTTGCTGAGATCCAAAATGACGTTAAGTTATCTGTCACGTTACAAACACTTAACATGTGACAGTATTATCATTGCCAGTACCTTAGGCATTCATTTTATGTATAATGTGTAAGGGTATTATGTATGTGTTCGGTATGCTTTGAAATACAAAATGAAGGAATTTTCTAACCCAGTTTTTATAAATACTGATCATGGTATAGGAAATCAGACATTCCACAATTCATTCTGTGACATTTTCCGTTTCTCTGACAGTAATGTATGATTTGGTTCTTCTGTCTCGGACGTTTTCAGCAGCTAAGTGTGATACAGATTGAAGCACTTGATGAAAAATAAGGTTCACAGGTTCCTCTGATTTCTGGTTATATTTAAATTAAAAAAAGAGAACCAGTTCTTAGAATTTACCATGCACCAAGAGTTGATCAAAGTATACAGTGTACGGATATATAAGTGGAATCAGTACAGAAGTACTTCGTTATCCAGTTTCCATATTTTTATCATTTCAGGGTTTGAAACTGTGTATACAGGGCCAGAGACAGAATTTATTTGTGATCATTTGACTCCTGGCACTACATACCAGCTGCGTGTTTCATGCATCAGTGCTGGAGGTCGTAGTAATTGTTCAGACCCATGCATCGTGACTACAGAAGCTGTGTGTCCTGCAAAATGCTCACCACCTCGCTTGCATGGCAAACCACGTGCCACTACCCTTGCTCTCAAATGGAGTAAGTTTTTAAGTTCAAATTACTAGATATGCATGTCAGGTTCTCTGCAGAAAGGCTTTCAGTCACAATAAATGTCCTCATATGTGAACACTCCTGTGAAGACCCCAAACACATCATGCAGTATTTCTGTGACATATGCAGAAAACTCTTTCCATTGTGTTCATACTCATTGGCAACAGTATCTTTTCTCATTTTGCTATGTGTATCCTCACTACAGTGGTGCTCATTTCTGTTAAGAGGCTGAGTCAACCCAAGGGCCATATTGCAGCTGGAAGGAATAGGTTAATTGAAAAACTGCAGTGACCTCATTGGGAATTGAACCAGCTACCTTCCAGCTTGTAGCGTAATGCCTCAACCAACTACACTACCACATGCCTCTTTAACAAGTATGCAACAGTTTAATTAAGCCGTAATTTCCGCAGGTTATCCTGAGTATGATGGTGGAGCGCCACTTACGGAATTTGAAGTTGAAATGACAAGTCCAAACTCCAGCCAGGTGCAGACATATAGAGGGAAAGATACTGACTGTACATTTACAGAGCTCTCTCCAGGACAGACCTATGTCTGCAAAGTTAGAACTTTCAATAGGGTTGGGGTAAGTGTTGCTCAATTCAGCATACCTATTACAGTTAACTTGCTGTCATGTAGTCAAATCATGTTGTGTGTTTGTACAAAGTTAACGCTGAAACAAGAGAAGACATATATTTCTCATGGACTTGCAATGGTTTTTGGAAGTATCTGTGTGAGTTATAATACTATTAATTTGATTTCAGTGATTGAAATAACATTTGAAGTCTGCTTTCAAGTGGCTTGTGTAGTAACAAGAAATTTTATAATCATCTTTGATCAGAAATCCAGGTTTTAACTGAATAACTAAAAGTAAAGTAAAGCAATCCCTGTAACAGGCCATGAAGGCCCATAGGGTTGTGAGATGTTGAGGTTCCCACATTATCTAGACAGTTGGCTCAAAGATGGCAGTAAGGTTGTCAGCCTTACGCACTGGCCGTGCTTTACTCCCTAGAAAATTATTTAATTAATTCCTGGTACTCATTTATGTTAGTGGCTGAGTTGACCCCAGGCCCATAGTGCAGCTGGAAGGATTAGATCAATTGAAAATATCCAATGACCTCATTGAGACTTGAACCTTCCGGCTTGTAGCATAATGCCTCAACCAACTATGCTACCGCATGAACTATGCAAGTCATATATACTGTTAGCAGTAATGTAATTAGTGGATTTCAAGAATTTCATTCTGTTCTAAAACATATTTCCGTGACAGTAGCTATTAATGAAACAAAATACCATTTTGACTATATTACTGCACATAGATTTTTTGTAATATGTTGGAATGTCCAAATTACAGTACCAGTTGCAATAATAATAAAAAAGAAGGGGGTTCCAAGTAAACATATAATGCCAGCCTTCCCATTGCAAGCATTAGTGATCCTACCGTGCAGGTCATATGTGGCCCAACAGTGTTCATTATGTGAGCAACCAAAAATGAATGGTGCATGACATGCAAATAAATTCTGTTGAAAATGCATGTATTAACTGTTGCTCTAGTCAGATATTAGCACTTTATAAAGCATATCAATTCTGGATCTTCGTTCAGACATCCTTAGATAGATTTCTGTAGTAGTGTTTGTGCCTCAAGCACATGTAACAGCACTGTGGCCATTCCTTGTTATGTTTTCTGTTATGCAGCCAAGGGTTACGTACATGTAGAAGTAGTTTTGGGTAAATTTGGAATCANTTTTCCAACAGTTGGTACTTTTGGATCACAGAAGGCAAAAATTTGATATTTTTTTTAACTTTTACTGACATTGAAAAGAACCAAGCTTGGTTTTCTGAGAATTTCAGCTACCCCAGTGCTTTAAATAAAATGAACCATTACCTGCAGTCATAGTACAGTATGTGCCAAAACATACAGTACTGAAACTTGCGCATCTCGAACGCGCATATGCGTTTGTCGACAGGGCATTGCTCCAGCCGCACGTGTTCCCAGTAGTGAAAAGGAAGTTGTGTTATGCAGTTGTTGGAAATGGGTTTCTCGATGAAGGAAAAAGTATTCATAGTTGAGTATTATTTCCACTCATACGGAAGTGGTCGCCAGACAACTCGATTCCTTGGTTTTGAGCAGCCAGATGTTATCGTCCAGAAACCGCTACACAGTACACGTATGACGATATGGTGTGCCGTCTCAGCACACAGTATATTAGGCTCCTATTTCACTGAGGATGAGGAAGGCAATGCTCTTACCGTCACCCAAGAACGCTACAGGGACATGGTGATCGGACCATTTCTTCAGGATTTGAGAAGGTTCTGTCGTGCAAGGGGCCTTCACATAAATAGACAGTGGTATCAACAAGACAACTTTTAATTTCAGTACTGTATTTTTGGCGCATACTGTGTTTCACAGTGAGGTATTTTTCTGTTTGTTATGACAGGTGAAGAACACTTCAGCTGTTGCAAATAGCTTTCAGTTTTTGGTTTTGAATCAAGTTGTTACTTGCATGGTTGATTGTGTCTGTGCACTGTGATCTTGTGAGAGTGATTTTTTGTATTCTGAAATTTGTTGTTAAAAAGTGGAAGGATAGTTCTTAATAGCATGCTAAAGTGTTTGAGCTATAATGTGGGAATTATTAGTGTTGTGTGTTTTATGTGAAACATTTTATTTCCTAAATAAAATCCATAGCTGTCAAAAGTAAAATGAAGAAATGGAATTTAGAAGAAGAAAATAGAGTATTTAAAGAACATTGACAGAGGACCACTGTTTTGTTGAGAGAAAGGTAGCATCATATGCATGATATGCTAGCAATAGTGTTATAGCACCAAAAGAATGCAGCTGAGAAGACATTTGAAACTAAACATTCAGATTTCAACCAGATATTCTGGAGAATTCAGAAAACAAAAAGTGAGTTTTCTAGTTCAGACATTGAAAGTTCAAGAAAATATTTTTAAAAGTCTTCTGATTATTCATGATTATTGAGCACAAGCCATTGAAGTGAGTTGGTACATTCTGTTACCTGTCAAGTCAAAAACCCATTACTGAAGGCTGTTGTTGTAAAGAACTGTTTCTCTGTTGCATCAACAAAAGTTTTGTTGCACAAACTGTAGACATGAAGTGAAGCAACCAAACAGCAGATGGAAGGCAGATAGTTGATAATTCAAAAGATGCACAAACTCTGTTTTTCAAGATATTTAACAGATATGTGTGCTGTTGACCAGCTATTGATGAGTCAGTGGACATCACCTCATCAAGCATGCATGTTGCATGTATGTTTGCATGTGGCATAACATCTGATTTTGAAGTGTTTCAAGAAGTTGTAAAACTTGATTCAATTCAAGGCAAGACAAAGGGATCAGATTTCATTCAGGCATTACTAGTAGTGTGTAGTCTTCAGAAATATAATTTGGAACTGGAAAATTATGTCTTTCGTGATGTGATGCCTTGTAGACCAGTGAAAGTCATCTGACATTTCAGATGAATATATTACCTCCTTATTCAAGGTCAAGTTATAAACCAAAGAAGAAAGCAGCATAAAACAGACAGCAAACAAGGAATTGCACATGAGGAAGGAATTTGCAAGCTAAACAGTCTGCTCCCATTGACTCTCTGAAACACAGAATGAACCTATAGAAGGCAAGAGAACTTGATCCGTAGATGGATAAAGAAATCAAGATAAGTCAACAACAGTAATAATTTGCTAATAATGACACAAAAGTGTGGTATTGTTTATACAAGTATGTCTACATTGTGCTGCTAGCAGACAAAGGGCAGTTCGGCAATGTAGCCCTATGAATGAGAAAGGTTATGTATTTCAGGGTGGGTTTGGCGTCCATTGGCATGAAATTCATGCTAGAATTCATAAAAATGGATTCAGGTGGGATTGGGGGAGGGGGTTTGCACATACTCGGACAGCATGGTGACCTCATAATCCACTTCTTTCCCTAAAAATGGGAAGTAGACAACAAATAGTATGTGTTTGCATGATTTTATTTGTTTTTGATATACAGGGTGTCCCAGGAGGAATGTGCCAAACTTCGGGAGGGTGTTCCTTATGTTAAAGTATGCCGATATAACCCAAAACACCTATGTCCAAAGTTGAACGGTTACGGAGATAATGGCCAGAGAAGTGTCAAACTTTGACCGGGGTTACACACTTGTTGATTACAAAATACATATTAAAACTGGCAGGAATATGTGGATTCTGT